ATATATATATATATATATAAAATCTAAAGTTCTGTTGGGTTCTGCTCTGGTTCTGGTTCTGGTTCTACCTTTGTGTGTGTTCTCAGTGATCTCGGCTCGCAGCTCCTTGACGCTGCTCAGTTTGATCGCTCTCCTCCGAGGCGCAGCTGCAGCCGTCAGCTCCTCCTCTTCCTCCTCCGTCCTCGGCCTCTTCCTGCCTCACAGGTAAACAAACACAGGTGTTTACATGATGACATCACCGTCAAAACAAGCTGAAGGAACGTTGAACCCAGGCACAAACAGCAGCTAAAATTAACCAAATAAAAGCTAAAGGTTAAAGAGAGAAAACTACAACTAGGAGTAACAATTAGCCACAACAGGAGCTAAAAGCTAAAATCAGAGAAAACTAGAAAAAATATGTAAAACAAACAGAACAGCWGCTGAAAGATAAAAGGCTAAACAGCTATTAGAGGCTAAATTCAACAAACGTAGAAAAAAATGTCAGAACAGTAGCAGAAAGGTAAAGAGCAAAACAGAAGCTAAAATGAGCAAAATGTAGCTAACAGCTAAAATCAAGAAAAACTAGTGAAAAAGGGTAAAATAAAACAGCTGAAAGATAAGCAAAGAAGTCAGAAAGAGCTACGATGAGCAAAATGTAGCTAAAATCAGGAAACATTGAAAAAACGTAAAAAAACAGCTGAAAAATGAAGACCGAAACAGCCAAGAAGCTAAAATGAGTAAAATGTAGCTAAAAACTTAAAAAAAGTCTAAAAATCTAAATTTTAGATATTATCTAAAATGAAAATGGTTTAAAAAGGCTAAATGGTAAACAAAAGCTAAAATTGGCAAAACAGTAGCCGAAAGGCAGCTAAAAGCTACAAGCAGACAAAAAACAGAGCCAGCAGCTGAAGCAGATTTCAACAAGAACAAAGTTTCTGAAGCAGCCGAAAAAAACCTGAAAGCAAAAATATTTATAAACATGTTGTGTTTTATGAAAAGTATAAAGTTATAAAAATCAAAAGCCTCAGTTCTTGTGCGCACAAAGAGCCGAAGGTTTTTAAATCTGAACAGCTAAAACAAAGTTTCCTTCAGCGTTTTCACTTGTAGAGGATGAATTCAGCCACTGGGGGGCAGAAGAGACTCACAAATAAAATCTCATAAAAAACATAATTATCAAAACACCAGAGAAGAAAAACACTGATTACAAACATTTAATAAAAACAAAATGTGAAATTCCTGAAACGGCTGAACAAAGACAAGCAGCCGAAGAAGTGACCGGGTGGCTGAGAGGAGGAGGACGTTGTTTATTTAAAGCAGCTAAAGTTCTTCCTGCTTCTCTCCTTCAGGTCTGCAGGTTCTGTTCAGACCCGCTCTGGGCTCCGGTCCTGATCCGACTTGTCAGAAATGAGAACTGCAGCTGGTTTTAGCAGCTCAAACTGATTCTGTTCAGATGTGTCAGAGAAGAAAAGTCTAAACAAACTGATTCTGTTCCTCAATCCAAGCAGTCAGATTGTGGAATAATCTGGAAGATGATATTAAAAATCACTGTACGTTTAAAAGAATGTTAAACACAAGATTGTTTAAGAAATATGAAACAATATAATCTGTATTCATATATAT